AACTACCCCCCCCCAAAAAAAAAAAAAAAAATCCCAGCGACGTACGTGTTCGTAACAATTGGCAAGATCCCCCCACCCCCGGATTTGTATAAATGAATTTGCTATGCGTAGTGTTTGTGTATCTCATTTTCTTGCAGTGACTGAGGTTTATTTGAATTACTTTAAATTCTCATTATTTTCATGCTGTTGTTCATTAATCGTTTTGTTTTATTTGTATTCAAAGTTCTATAAACTTTTCTTCAGATGTTTTATTGTTTTGAAATCTCCTGCTGGCTTTACGGAATTTTCAACAGTGTCTGTGCTGTCAGGTGTTCTAATATATTTGGTTTGTATTTTGCTTTCAACCTCCCATTTCTTGAATTAGAAGTCTGATACTCTCTTCGGATTTTTACATAAGCAATTGTGAGTGTGTAAGCACATATTAAGCAGGAGGCAGAATACAATTTTTTATATTATTACCTTTATAACAGACTGGATCCGTGGGCCGAGGCCAGCTGTAGGCGGTTCAACAAGGCCAAGTGTCGGGGCCCACACTTCGTTCACAACAACCCCATGCAACGCTACAGGTTTGGGGAAGAGTGGCTGGGAAGCTGCCGGGCAGAAAAGGAGCTGGGGGTGTTGGTCGACAGGCGGCTGAACATGAGCCGGCAGTGTACCCAGGTGGCCAAAAAGGCAAACAGCATCCTGGCTTCTATCAGAAACAGTGTGGCCAGCAGGACTAGGGAGGTGATTGCCCCTTTGCACTCAGCACCGGTGAGACCTCACTTCAACTACTGTGTTTGGTTTTGGGCCCCTCGCTACAAGAAAGACACTGAGGTGCTGGAGCGCGTCCAAAGAGGAGCACCGAAGCTGGTGCAGGGTCTAGAGCACAAGTCCTGTGAAGAGCGGCCGAGGGGACTGAGATTGTTTAGCTTGGAGAAAAGGAGGCTGCCGGGAGACCTTATCACTCTCTACAAGCACCCAAAAGGAGGTTGGAGCGAGGTGGGTGTCGGTCTCTTTGCCCAAGCAGCAAGCGATAGGACGAGAGGAAAGAGCCTCAAAGTGCGCCCGGGGAGGTTTAGATGGGACAGTAGCAAAAATTGCTTCACCAAAAGGGTTCTGAAGCACTGGAACAAGCTGCCCAGGGAAGTGGCTGAGTCACCATCCCTGGAGGTATTTAGGAGACGTGTAGATGTGGCACTTAGGGACACAGTTTAGGGGTGGACTTGGCTGTGCTAGGTTTACAGTTGTACTCGATGACCTGAAGGGACTTTTCCAACTTATATAATTCTATGACTTTTACTAATTTTGCTCATTTGGAATTACTGCTGTGGGGATTTTTTTCCTTATTTTTTACAAAATGCCCTTTAGTATAGCTATAGTGTTAAATTTCTGCTACTTTAACTAGTAAGAAAATTACCTTTCTCTTGTACTGCAGATCAAACTTTTCAATCTTTAGCTGTTGTTTTATGGGTCTAAATCTATACTGGAAACAGATGAAATTCTGAATTAGAATTTATGAAAGTAAGGAGCAATCCTTGTCTAAGGATTTTACAAATGTCACAGTATAAGAACATCCCGAGCTGGAATAACTATTAGATTAACACACAAAGAATGGTATCATCTTTTCTGGGGGGAGGGGGGGGAGGGAAGGTTATAATTTCATTTTCTTCTGTCTTTTCATGTATGAAATGCAAGTATAATTTCTACATACTCTTCTAAACTGTGCCGTATTAGTACATATAATAAGTAGTTTATCTCTGTTGTGGTACTAAACTGGGAAACAGTAGCATTCCTTAGCCTATTTAATAATAATTGAATTACATTCTGTCATAAAACCAAAGGACTGAAGGAGGGTGGTTTTTTTTCTCCATGGTCATATTAAAAACTTAAAAGAGGAGCTCATTATCCTGACATCTGAAATATAATTTCTAATACTGTCCCTATATATTTTCATGGTCAATATCAAATCTATGTCTTTTGGGGGATTGTGAGGTGTTTTGTTTTGTTTTGTTTTGTTTTGTTTTGTTTTGTTTTGTTTTTAAGAAGTTAACAAATATGATTTAGGTGAAAATTTTCTTCTCCCTAGGTAATCTGCATTACTTCAGAAGAAGAGTCTATTAAGAAACATGAGAATGATCCTTGCTTTTCCCCTCTTCCAGTATGAAGCAACCCTCACTGAACTCTTCTAATCAGTTACTATCATTCACCTAGTAGAGGTATTCACAGCTTTTATCTAGGCTGTAGCAACTGTGCTTCCTGTTGCAGGGGTGCAGAGGAATGCTTAGGTATATTTGTGAGTCTCCTTAGATTTGGTGTAGTCCTAAGCATACCTCCTTTCTCTTCCTGGGAGGAGTGAATGGGTGAGCTGAGTATGATACTGGGGCTTAAAAAGTGTATTACGCTTGCTATAGTTCTTGTTTATACCGAACTGACAAGTCACAAAACAGTAAACAAACTTCAGCATTTTCTGTTGTTACTAGCCTAAAAAAGGATTCCAGAATATATATATGTATTTTAATTATGACTTTCTTTTCTTCATTCACTAGTGCTTCATTAGCAGCAGAACACCACATTTCAGTACCCCTTCCTTTCTGCTCCCCAACCGTGACAGTGGTCAAGCAAGAGCACTTCAAATTTTGTACATTTAGCACAAACGTAGACTAAGGACAGATTCGCAACAAGATGGGATCAAGACAGATCTAATTCTGCAAGATAGAGACAAATGACTAAGCCTCTAGTATTTTGAGAACACTTGCTGTCTATCCCCATGATTTTTACACTCAGCTTTTGGTTTCCATTTGTAAGTTTTCAGCTGCGTTGTTTATATTTTGGTTTTGCATCCTCTAGGTAATTAATTCATGTGTTTTTAAAGTCTAGCACGATAAATGGCTCCTGTTGGGTATTATGTCTGTATCGACAACCTCGGGGTGAGTAATTAGCACATAGAGTTATTTATTTAATCCTGACTTAAAAAAACATAATTCATGAAATAGAAATTGAATTTAAGGCTTCAACTCTTAGATCAATATTAGGCAAAAAAATTACTGTCAGCCATTATATTGTAAGAATATATATGAATAAATATCTGGAAAAGTATTCATATTTTTCAAACTAGTAGTTTTGACTTTTGTAGAGTATTGGACAGGTTTTCGTATTCCTTGTGCTTTCCACTCACTGGAAGCTGATGCTTCATTGCCTGTTCAAAGTATCCTGTCACTTTCAAAGGAGAAATGGAACTGCAATCTGTCCTTTGTGAATGAGACAGGTTGCACACACTCCTGCTTTGCACTGTTATGATGCTCCCGTGATCTGCCATGCTGAAAACATCCTAGATCTCATCTGGACTATCTGGGCAAATGAAACAAATTATTCCCTTGTACTGAAAACCTGGGCACTTTTGACAGACCAGCACCCCCCCACGGTGGAGGAGAGCTCCAAGGAAAAGGGCAAAAGGACAATGAGCTTGAGGAATAATGTACTGTAAAGAAAGCTGCACTTAACACCAGGGTGACTGGAAGGTTACCATGGTTTTAGGTAAGACAGCTGCACCAGTGAGTCATTAGGTAGTCTCAGACAACTAATGAAGAATAACGTCTTCCTGAGCAAACCAGACCAGCATGAGAGGTGAGGAGGGGGGGCAGTGTATATATGTGGCTCGGCCCAACATAAAGAATAAAAACTGGACAACAGATAAAACTAAGTTTGAAGAGAGCAATGGGCTTGAGATGGTTTCAACCAACATATTCCCTTCCAGTGACTGGGGAGGCCCAGCATTGTGACAATGAGCATATAAAGACCAGTAATGAGAATCATTTTTGCACTGTGGTTCAACTGTATATTACAGATGCTATATTGTGCTTGTGATGTGATTTCAGTACATTGCTGTATCACCCCACTAAATCAAAATCCCATGTAAAGCCAAATATCCTTAATAAAGAAATTGGATATTAAACATTAAACTCTTTCATGTGTAATATCTAAAAGAACCTGGTTGGAGAGTATTCAGCTCTGACAGCACAGAGATGTGGTCAACTGGGACCTGTCTCTACATGTGGGTAAGTGTGAACTGCACAGGATCTGACTTTGGCACACTTCAGGCTTCTAAATCTACTCCCAGTGGTCCTTGTTCTCTGTATCCTCGTGCCCAATACTCCACCTTCAGTTCAGCATGTAAGCCTAGCTGCAAAGCTGTGCTTACTGAGATCAAGCAGACCACATAATTTTGGTAAGAAATATTTTAAGCACAGAAAGCTTTTGTCTTGAGACTCAGGCCCAAGTCAGCATTTGCACGTGCAGATTTGCCATTTGGAAGAAAAATCCTGGCAGTAGTATAATTGCAGAACTGGTATATGCTGCTTAAGTAAAACTAGCAAACAATGTCACCTACTGTTTAAATGTCTAAATGTTACAGCTATCAGCTTCCCAGTGTGTTGATCATATCTATGTATTTGGTAGGTATGACAGGAGATTTGGGGGTACTGTGATCATGAATTTAGTCTAATGATTGGTACTTTGATTTCTCCCCTCCCCCTTCCCCGCTAGCTGAGACAATCAGAGGTGGAGAGCCCCATTCTCATCTTTTTATTTCAAGGCTCCCCTCAGTCAGAGATCCAAGAGGTTGGGCTACAGCCCTGGTTTGGACTGTTTCCAACCTTATTCTTGCTGCCAAGTTCAGAAACAACACAGGGACTAATAAAAGAAAAAAAGACCTCTGCCGTGGCCCAGAAGCCTGATCTCACCTTTAGGGATGCAGTTTGCCATGCACAAAGAGTGGCTTCTTATAGATCAGACGATGATCCACACAGGGGCAAAATCTTCC